TATATTTATTAATAATTTATTAAAGGTCTTTAAGGCCTTAATTTCTTTTTTTCCTATCCTAAAATAGGAAATTCCTTTACTATTTATACTTATTTAAGCCTTATATAATCTATAATTCCTTTCCTTCTATTGGGCATTTATACTTTAACTATTAGTTTTTTTATAGCTAATAGATTGTTCTTATCTAATTGCTTATAGCTTCACTTTTTGCTAGGGGTAGCGTTGGTTATCTTCGGGTCTTTAGGTCTTATAGGACTGTCCGTATGATAGGTATATAGTAAGACTCCCATTGTAGTACAAGGTCTAAAAGGTCAGATGTCTGAAGGAATTCAGACCTCTTTGACTATATACAGTGTATCTCTTTGTTCCTCCACCCTGAAACCCCTGACAGAGTACAAGGTATACCAGCTGTCAGGGATCAATTTCACTTTACGAGTGTATCAAGTGGTTAGGTGTCCAAAGCGAAGTAAGTAGTGAAGTGGATAGTCTAGGAGCCCCAGGGATCCCTCATATCTCATTGCACGTTGAGATAAGATCAGATCTAGGCTTCCAAGGCAATTCAAATTCGGTTCAAAGCTTGAGGAATATGGCTATAACTCTTAATATACGTGCAATTCCACGATAGCTGCTTTTCAAGTGTCCATGTCTCCGTGAAATCATTGTGATCTTTATAAATACAGAATAACTTCTACAAAAAGGCCGCACTCTCCGCTGCTAATTAATTCCCCATGCTGCACTTTTCCAGCAGCCAGTAAGCAGCCGCAAGTCAGAGAAAATAAGGGCTCTTTGTTAATACTATTGATTTATATCTTCTTTTGGATGAAATGGGGAGGGCCTGCTACTTATATGCCCCAAGTTACACACTAGTCACCCCCCTTTTTACCTAGCTTCTACCCTAGTATGAGATGATTCCCTGATAAAGTGTATGTGTTATGGCTTTTATCATTGCGCAAACATCAAAAGCTTCGAGGGTGCGAGGAAGTTTAGACTTCTCCTGGCTATAATTATACGTCTGCTAGTTATTTGCTCACCACTACGCCAAGTAATTTTGTAACACCAGCGGACCAAAAGCTAAGCCCCCGGGGGTGAAGTTAGTCTTCGATATAGCTGTCTATGTAACTGTTCGAGAACTAGAATCCGCTACTAACTAGGAATGAGTATCGATGAGTATCTTATCACTGTATAATCAAAATGGACGCTGTAGGTAGAAGAGATTAGCCAGTCGAACCTAGTTGACTAAGTCTGGTCTTGGGGGAAACTTGAATTTGCTCTTCTTCACTGAGTGCGTAGGTGAGCGGGACTCAAAATAGTAACATGGGAGACAGGGAGGCATATATATTACTACGAATGGAAAATGTTTTCATGGCAGTACGAACCAACCCAATCCCTTACTGCCTGAGCCATCCCCTTGATCCTCTTACATGTTATTATCAACGGGCTATGTCAGGGCCTGCTATCCTGGCTCATGACTTCTATTGTTATGCAATAGTCTCTCTAACCTTCTTGCGGGCGAAGCTGAGGCTACATACAGGAGGGTTTCTTTATTGCCTTACAGCCTTATAACAGGCGGGCGGCCAAAAATTCCGCATCTTGGGCAATCAAAGTCTTCCCATATTTCATGATCCTCCAAAAGCTCCCGAAAAATGGGACAGCGCGATCCTTTACCGTTGCACCTCTTTGACCGGACTGGGATCCACGAATCTGGTGTTGTTGGCGCCATATGGCCGCAGTCGTAGTACCGGACAAGTTTGCGACACATGATTAAGAGAAAAGTGTCGTCGTTAGGCGATAGGGACAGAGGTTCTGAATCTAGTGGTGATAGTTTAGATATCATTCAGTTCAGAAGATGCTTCGAATTTGACTTGGTCAGATAGTGACCTACCTCAAAGTTTCTTCGTAAAGGCCAGGCTTCTTAGTTCTGGAGTTCTAGTTCAAGTAGGACATGATTGATAGCGGGTGAAGGAGATGCTTGCCTCCTTTTGTGGTGAATTGGTCCCCCCCTTTCCCTCGTTGAGAACAAACTACATAATTACAAAGGGCGGTCGATGTAATAACTGACAAATTCGTTGGATATCAACAACCTTATGAGTTGGCCACCATTAACCCCTAAAGGGATAGCATTCGATTTTTGGCAAACATCTTAATCTATTTGAAGCCTCCCTCAACGCCATTAGCCTTCGGGCCGGGCGTGTTGACCGGACCATTCGAGTCTCTTATCCGTATCCCGAAACAGCCCATCCCAGCTGTTCGACTCCTTATCTCTCGTGGTTTGTACTACAAACATGGCCAAGCTTAGGGACATCATTTGTGTTTCTAGTTTTCTTCGTACCTTACTGGCCCCAAAAGAAGTGCCTTATTGACAATGACCTTGGCCACCTGCCTCAAGACGGGGATATATTACTTTAGCTCTTCACTGTATTTACTCAATCTGAAGAGCGGACAATGAAAACCGACGGTGTCAATTACATATTCCTTCTGGAGGCATCATATATCCATCTTATGACCCATGTTTAGCCTACTCATGTTATGTACGTATACTTATGTAGACTGATGTTGTTACCATTGGCATCATGTGGGTCTGCAACCCCTTCTAGGTGAGTACCGGCCTCCGGTTAGAGCCATCTGCGATCTGCGCCGAAGCAGAGCTGGAGCGGTTTGCCAGAATAGGATGGTCGTTGGGGAACAGATGGAGCTTATCCGGCTCATTGATCAACAGAATCATCTGAATACCTATCGTATGTATACCCTGAGACATTACAGGCGAACAGTCTAACAGTGTGCTTCTTCTGCTGCATACTTTGGAGAGCACCACCCGTCAGCCGCGATGTACACTGATGTTGTATGAGTTAATGGATTACGAAGTACGACTTGCGTCATGTAAAACTGCAATTACATGGGTAGAAGTACCATTCTCCGCCATTGTCAACGGGATTTCATCCTATTGAAAGTTATAGTCGAGAGTAGGGATTCTATTTGTAGCAAAGCCTTGCCAATCTAAAGGTAATACATGTTCATATTAAAGATAATTGTTGAAGTTTGCACAGCGAATCACGATTGGTACCAGGCAAAGTTTGTTATTCAGCAGGCGGAATAAAATTCATCCAGACGTAAAAGTCGTTCCCGCCCGATCATAAATTCGTCTCATCTCATCTCATGAATACATAATTCGTCCCAACACAGGTTACCCGTTATCATCTAGCACCAAAGCTTTCCCATAAATATTTTCCCAATAGGTATACAAGATTGCCTCCAATGACTCCAAGCAATGCCAAGCACTAGCAACATTTACAACAAACAGATCTAGATTCCTCTAACGCCTGTATATGACCTAAGATAGCCAACCCTCAACCAAAATATGTATATGAAAGAACAAGAAGCATCACGCTTTCTAACTAGGAAGCAGCACAGTGGTGGTAATATACGAGAGTACAAGAGTCCATGTGTCCCTCTCATACGTCTCCTTCCTCATCGCTCACGAACTCGACTGCCTCCATGAATAGCTCGTCTAACAAGGCCTCTTCCAACTCCTCAATAGTCGCCGATGGAGGCGTCTCGTCTGGGATAGAGACATCTGTAGCGCTCGTAGAAGTTGTGGCTCCAGATGACGCTTCCTCCTCCATTAAGAGGGCCTCCAGTTCATCAACCGATGGAGGCGTCTCTTCCTGGACAGAGATATCTGTAGCGCTCATTGAGGTTGTGGCTCCAGATAATGCTTCCTCCTCTGTTAAGAGGGACTCCAGTTCATCAATCGATGGAGAACGAGGTGTAGAGCGAGGTGCAAGCAATGGTTCGTCGTCGTCGAGATTTATGGGAGTATCAAAAGACGAGCCCGGTACGAATGGTAGAGATAGCGAGGGTGTGGGAAGGCTTGCAGCTGGCATGACTGCTTTGCCTTTTCCCTTGGCATTGGCTTTGCGTCTTTTGGGGGGAGCGGCGGCGTTGTCGTCAGCTGGAGTTTCAGCAGCCCGTTTTCGCCCTCGGGGCTTTTTCTGAGTCGCAGGTGTCTCTACTTCGCTGACTTCGTTTACTGACTGACCAACGATTTTTGTTGGCTTTGGCCCCATGGCTATTCGTATCTCATGCTCTGGCATGCCAGAGTCTCTCAACGAGTCTTCGTATTCTTTACGCGTCATTGTGACGCCGAAGTTTCTTAAGTCATCGTAATACGGGATGGAGAGGTTCTGAGGCCCATCAGGGTTCCGATGTTCGCCAAGCTTCAGTTCCTCAGCAATCGGCCCTTTGGTAATCTCAAGTTCCCGCGCACGCTGTTCGCCGAGAGTTTGGGCTACTGTCTGCGGTCCCTGAGATTGGAAGATACAAGTCAGCCCACCAACTGTCTAGCAATGAAGTTTACGGAACAAAGAGATTTGTCATATTGGTGTGATACTATGTATTCACAGGGTTATTACGGCAAAGGATACATGATATTACGTGCAGGGCAGAATAGGGAACAACTTCAGTGTCACGGCCAGATTTTACGTTGGGATCGAGGGAACATTTGTGCACATGCAATATCATCTTACCTTGTTGGGCCACGAGTATTTTTTGGCACCACCGACCTTGTTGATGGCGAGTTGCAGAGATGTGATCTAGTTTGCTAGACACAATGCCCTTGACGGGTGGATTTGCGTAGACAGATGAAAACTATTACACAACGAGTATTAACTCGCTGAATACATACTTTAATCATGTCGAACTGCCATCTCGAAATTACAAGTGTACAGTAGACTATGAACTCGTGTATCATGTGTAAGGAAGATGAGTAAATCTTCATCGCATATGATTATTCCATAGTAACATAAATTTATTTCACATAGAGAGATAGACATGGTGCGTAGCTCACCACATGCCCAGTGCCCTTGCAAGGTCTTGGGTAATTAATCTACTACGTAGTATATCCTCACGAAATTAGGCACCATCGATAAATCGGGGTATTAATATACCAATCATCGCATAATAATATTACCAGGTTTCCCACAACTTGTTGGTCTAATTATTCAGACGCCTTCTAGTGTACTTAATACCCTCCCCAGACCTAACGGCTCAACCATAAGACCAATATTTGGGTCCTCTTAAAAATATAGTAGTGCTATGAACGAGGTTTCATTTCCTCTTTAACGAAAACTTTGCCCGCGGGGCCGGCCAGCATCTCATCGGGAACGGAAACACGACTTCCATCCTTACTGCTCACCCATCTCACAAAGATGGGATTTGGCTTCTGAGCTTCTATGTCTGGCGTCGATTCCATTCCGGCCTGGGCCTTGCGGTTGGTTTTTGGTGCTTGCTTCTTCAGCAACTTATTGATAGTTTCCATCTGTAACGAGTGTTAATCCAATTTCACCAAAAAGTCGACCTTTTATCACGGGTGACAGTTCAGGAAATGATATCAGCTTACCTTGACTTCCTCATTGCGCTTCTCGCTGAGGTTTCGTCGACGACGGGCCATTTCGGCGCGCCTCATGGACAGCTCTTCGGCGGTGAAGTGTTTTTTGGCTTGTACCTCTGTGGGTTTGTTAACACGATGACCGAATCATATTCATCAGAGTAGAGTACTCACCATCAGAGAGCTTCATAAGGGCATCACCATTCTCTTCGAAGCGAGCGCGTTGTCGTTTTGTCATCTTCGTCAGATCAGGAGCCTCTTCTTCACTACCATCGTCATCACTACCGAGGTCATCCTCTGCAGGCTCTGCCTCCTCGATCTCCTCATCTTCGCCTTCAGCATCCTCCTCGTCACCACCACCCACTTTGACAGTGTCTTGAATTTCATCAGCATCGCTCTCTAGCTCACTGAGTTCCTCGTCGTCACTGTCCTTAGTATGAGAAGCCATAGCCTTCGAGGTGGTGGGCTTTGTCGCCCGAGACTTATTATTATTAGGTCTCTTAGAGGGTGGCTTGGATACTTTGATGACGGGAGCCGGGGGTGGGATGACGCTCATGTCCATGTCGTCGTCTTCACCTTCAGCGTCTTCTTCGCCATCTTCGTCATCCTCCGCTTCTGCGTCGATGTCCATGGTGTCGTCAACAACAATCTCGCCCTCGGCATCCTCCTCATCATCGTCCATCATATCGTCGTCCTCTCCCTCGGCATCCTCATCGTCATCCTCCTCCTCCTCGTCATCACTAGTTTCAACGACATAACTCTTCTTCTGAGATCGATTCCTCTTACCCTGGATGATTTCACCACCCGAGAAACTATCACGTGCAGCTTGGCGGGCTGACTGAGCAGGTTGGCTAGATGTGGCTTGGCGGAGCTTGCTTGCCGGAAGCTTAACTGTAAAGTGAACATGGTGGTTAGAATCTGAGGGTGAGGAAGGAGGGCCGCGCGAGATTGATGCCGCGGCGCTCTTACCCTCAGATCGGCGCGAAGCTCTTGATGACATGATCTTCCCAGTCCGACTACTAATGTGGTTGTCGCTATCGACCATGTCAGTGATTGTCTTGTTTGCCCGCTGGGCAGCGGCGCGACGAGGGCGAGACGCCATGTTGGGCGGCCAATATCCCGTAATGTAAAAGGTAGTGTAGGCTGTTCAATGACGGGGCTAATGTGGTAGCGTGCAGGACAATGGAATTGGGGCAAATTGAGTGGTCTACTGCATTGGTCTGGGGAGTGTAGAGTGCGTTGAAGATGGCAATGCCGCCAAAGATGATGATGATGATGATGATACTGCTGCTGCCACTGCTACTGCTTCTGCCGATACTACTAATACTGCTGGTGGCAGTACTGGTCTTGATCAAGCAAGGATGTGTGGTTGTTGACCAGGGATGGAGGCTGATGATGTACGATGATGACGATGGTGTTATTTTTAAAAGGTGGCTTGTGTGCGGCAAAGATAGATGTGGTGATTGTGATAAGCTCGTGCGCGGCCGGAGATGCGAAGGAGAGAGAGACAGATAGAGTTAGAGAGGGAGAAGGGGCCGTGACACGAAGGTCGCAGCAAACAGCCGATGAGGTAGGCAGGTCGACAGGTCGACAGGCAAGTTCACAGGCAAGTTAACAGGTAGGTCGGCAGGCAGGTCGCCGCAGGGCTTAGGTTAGATGGTCCGTTGATTGGGGGTCTGGTCTCAATGGCTCGGGATCGGGATTGGAGGAACCTTGACCACTTGGTTTGGTTTCTTCGTGACATGACAAGTCTCGCTCCGTGCTCTCTCCGCCTCACCCAGCTCCTCACCCAGCTCCTCACGCGCTCCACCTCTCCATGCTGCTGAGCTGACAACGCATTGGACTTGTGTTTTTTAGCAAAGGCTATTCATGGGCTATTTCATCCCAACACGCCCATTAGCTCGCAGAACAACACTCCCCAGCTGCCCATCAGCCCAGCCGCATGCCATGCCATGCGCATCGAGGTTTCATTGCCCGTACCGGTATACTACATACCGGGGGCCGTCTACTGATTGATGACCGATGATTGACTGGCGGGCGGGCTGGCTGACTGGTGGCCCGTCCATCCACTCGTCAATCAATCAAAGCCCGTGATGGCGAGAGGTACATGGTAGGAAACGAAACGCTGGCTAGGTTTTGGGTTTGCGCAACCATCCCAAGTCGCATCCTGTTTCGTGACAGGTACATTCCAACAATCCCCCTTCTCTCCTTCCGCTAGCCCCTGGACCTTTCATACACAGTATGGATTTTGTGCATTTATGAAATCAAAGGTATTGAGCACAACCCTTCCTAATCCCTCCCCTTTCTTCCCCTGCCCTGAGGTACAAAGATGGGGCGGTGGCAATGGTGGTGATAACAGCAACGACAAGAGCCATGACGACGACGGTGATACAGAATCAGAATCAGAGGACTTACGAGAGGTGATATGAAGCCGGATAGGCCGACGGCGCAGTCTCACGGTAACGAACAAGTGATAGCGCAAATGGAGGCGGTCGCGTCGATTTGGGCCTGGATGCTTGCTTGCTTGCTCAGCTGGTACTTCGACGGCGCTACAAGAGATTCTTGGAGGTGCAGGCTGCTGCTATCGATTAGCGTGCGACGCGGCCGGACACACAACCTTGGATGTAACCGTCTACACCGAGCAAGCAGCTTACCTGGTTTCCACCGGCATAGGTCGCAAGTGGAAACACCCCAATGTCCAAAGTCCAAGTCCAAGTCCAATGTCCTGCCTACACTAGGTATGTAAGGATGCTTGCTTGCTTGCCTGCTTACTTCTTACTTGTCTCGTCTTGGCAGCGGAATATTACAATTGGAACTATCTCGCTATCGTCAGCAACAACAATGTAGTAGGGCTGGGGAAGGTTGGCTGTGTTCGACGGGTTTGGCAGCTCCTAACCAGCGGCTTGCCACAGCTTTGAATAAGCCACCTAGATTACCTACCCGCTCTTAGTTGGGATAGCAAATGTTACAAGGTTACGTGATAAGAGTAATGAAACGGATATCACGGTCTGTTCTTCTCCGTCCTCTTCAAAGTGCTCGTTGGATTGATTGATACGTCTTCCTAGAATATCTGCTAGGTGCATTACTCGTTATATGCCAGTCACGTGTGCTACCTACATTCCAAGGCGCAATCGTTGTAAACGCTGTACTTATCCTTCTACCCGCTCTTACTTACATAGTAGGTAGTCTCCAGGCGCATGATCAGGTGTAGGTATGTACCATCTATACCTACATATGTACATACCGAGGCATGTACATTCATTCATAAAGCATCTTTAGAATAGATACATTCGGGAGGCTCAAGAATATCCCAAAGTACCAAAACACGCATATGTTGGAAACTGTCTGTGATACTGTGACGGTTGTCAAACATGCAGCATAGCTTCTGTTAAGGCGACCCTATGAACCCGACCTACATAATTATTCAGTACGAGCGTACGGTATGTAGGTATGTGCTTAGGTACCTAGTCAGTGGATAGGTACATGTCTTGGGATCTACTTTGCAGTGGGTCTTTAGCTGCAGCACTACGGTAGCCGCCCTCGTCGGTCTCTCTAGGTACTTAGCTCTATCTCGGGCGCATTTGCCGAGGCAACTATCTACTTAAGTACTAAAGTCGCATCTACGTATATGTGAGGAATCATACATAGTAACTATAGTAGTCCACCTGGTTATTCTTCACTTACTCCATACATCTTTTAATTCTGTTTATTTCCAACCTCCCTACCGCACTCGAAATCCTCCTAGGCATGGACGACGATTCAAATAAGCCAGCGATACCCGCGTGGCAGCAGGCTAACGCCGAAGCTGATGCCACCTCGGAGCCCGAACACGCGACTATAGAGCATGCCAGGCGATTCCTCGACGATGAAACCGTGAAGGCTGCCTCGCTTGAAGACAAGCGTACATTCCTCAAAAGCAAAGGCTTTGAGCATTCTCAAATCGACCAGCTCCTCAATGAGTCGGCGGACGAGAGCACCCCGTCATCGGCCATCGAACCTGTAGCGACGACGGGTGATGCAGACGTTACCGTCGACGTTTCCTCCACAGTTGCCGACAGTCCTTCATCAACAGTATCTTCCTTCTCTAACGATAGCCCTTCGCCAGTAGCATCATTCACGGGCGATACGCCACCAATCATCACGTATCCCGAATTCCTCACAAAGCCCCAACGTCCACCACCCCTCATAACTCCTTCACGCCTAGCCAACATCCTCGCTGTCTCGGGTGGCATATGGGCCCTTATTTATGGCCTCGCTGGTCTGGTTGTCAAACCAATGGCCGAGAATCTCAATGAAGCGCGCTCTGAGTACTACCATCACGTCAATGGAAAGCTTTCCCAGCTGGTCGAGAAGCTCGAGGGCGCCGTGAGTGAAGTACCTTACAAGAATGGAAGACCACTCAGGTCGCAGAAGCAGGGTCGCGATATGGAGGACAATGAGAGTGTGACCAGTGATCCCACCGAACTTTTCCATCGCGATGTTGGCACACAGACGTCACCACCTCCCTCTCTCTACGAGTCCAGCGCGAGTAGCGAAGAAAAGCCGGTTGACTCTGAAGCCAAACAGCTATCCAGGATCAGGGTGGCTCTCCGCGACTTGACTCTCATGCACACACAAAGGGCCGAGAGCATTGCCGACGTGAGATCAGAGGTCGGTCAAGTCCGAGACCAGGTCGACAAGCTGGCGTATCCGCCCATTCAGGACCTTTCCACGTATGGCGGACTCAGTTACGGCCAGAGCACGGAAGCGAATGACGAGTTCAAGAAGACAAAGGACGCAATTCGCAGTATCAAGGGTCTTTTCTTGAGCTCCCGAAGCTTCCCTGCAGTGACGACGAGATAGGATGCTGAAACGACTGCTTCTGGCCCATCTATACCGACATTTCAAAATGGTCAACACCTAAAGCGCTCCTATGACGAGGGGCCTGGCACCGCTATGAATAGCGACTTGAGTAAAATAGGACCCAAGCGTACTCAGCTCGTTTCTTTCAACCGTCACGCGGTTTCTATTGAGCATATACAGGCCTTAACGCGTCAATTATCAAATCCTCAGCCCGACACCACGAGTTATAGAAGATATACTCCGGCAGAGCTACACTCCATAGGCGACAAATCGCGCATATTTAGCAAAGGCTCTGTTAAAGTTGATGCTATCACGGTGGGAGCTTACATATTAGCCAAAATGAGTAAACACTGCAATAGCGACGACCGTCGTATGGTATTCAGAAATCTACATCGAACAATGCTATCTGCCGTCTACGAAGATATTCGCGCGGATATTGACAATCGCTATGGCGTTAGGATGGTGTACACTCCATCAGAGCTATCTCAAGTATACCGCGAGATGGTAGTTTTTATCGAATTCGTTATGTGCCAACACCGCGCTATGGTTGACAGGCAGCACCAATTGTCCGCGCTGTATGATTTTCGGTGCGATCTGGAGAAGCTTCTCGTCAACGCTAATACTCTACCTTGAGCTCCAAGCCCCAGCGTACACCGGATATAGCGGTTCGGGGGTTGTCAGGAGAAAGGACAAAAATATCCTTACATGATCCTCTTCATTAATCACTTCATGTATATAATTCTTGATTATCACGAAGCGGTAGCTAGCGTATTGAAATCAGTACACAATCATTATTCGATCATGTATAACAATATATCTATATACGAGCACCACTGCGACTTCTTCAGCTCTCTAATTGAGCCATCATCTATAAGTATATATCTATTAATCAATCACCATCACACAAAGTACATACAAAGTGCAAAATATCTAGCCAGGTTAAACCCAAAAACATGCTAATGGTATAATTAGGTAATTCCAGACATCAAATCCCAGAGCGTCAGACGACAAGCAAACAGATGACGTCTAGACAACACAGTAGATAGATACCTTGGGTATAACTGTTCCGAAGAATCCCCCTATCCTACCTTATAATACCATGCCCATCAACCCCAGCGAAAGCACGCGATATAAATAAACCCAATATACAAATGTAAATATCAATTCATTTGGCGTAAGCCATCCCGTTCTTTCTCTATGCTAATGCCGTAAACGCCGTTCTCTATCGACGAATAAGTAGAAAAGGAGGAGAAGAAAAATAAAATAAAAAGGTGGAATGAAGATGTAAATAGCAAGTGAAGGGGTATGTCCAAGGCCGTTGCGCCGTGCTCGATAAATGCTAGTTGCTTATACACCCCAGAAACCGGTCCCGAGGATCTATACATTGTTTGCTCCTCCGTGTCCCGTCCGCCAGCTACGCAAGTTAATTACACAGGCGCCGTGGCTGGAGGAAGCAACTATACGCTCGCTACCTGTAGCCAGGCGGGTAAGGTTTGGCCTGTCCCTGGAAGGCGTCGAAGCCGGACGATTCACCACTAGACCGCTGCTCTTCCATGACCACGGGCGGCGGCGGCGGCGCGTCAGAGAAAGTATGCTTCGACGGCGTCATCAGGACATACATGGCGCGCATGACGGCCAGGACCACGACGAGGACGTATATCAGCAATAACCCCGCCGATATGAGCGCCTGCTGGATGATCTGGTTGCGCAGCCAATTGGTGACGTGCTCGACGGCGCCCGTGATCTCGTCCGTGGTGACGCTGCTCGGCGACGCGAGGAACGTGGTGAGGTCCGAGTCGCCGTGGATAGAGTCGCTCGCGCCCACGCTGAAGATGTTATTCGGGAACAGCGGGAAGTCGACGTGCGCGTGGTCGTGGACCCACGTCAGCCCCTTCTGCACGGACTCGATCTTGAGCCCGAGGAGACACCGGACGACCTCCTTGGCGAGGTCCTTGAACAACGTCTGCCCGAAGACGGTGTTGATCCCCGTGTCGATCTCGTGCAGGAACGTGTTCAGGGTGTCGTTGACCGCGGACGTCGCGTTCGTCACCTTGCCGAGGATGTCGTCGTTGATGTCGCTGCTGAAGCCCAGGATCACCCCGTTCGCGTCGTCGGACCACTTCTGCGAGACGTCGCTGAGGGACTTGACGACGTCTTCTGCGAAGTCGCCGACCTGCTGGCTGAGGGCCGGGACTTCGTTTTCGATGGTGCGGAGCAGGATGCCTTGCCAGGCGCAGGAGAAGAAGCCTGCCAGGGCCAGGGAGAGCACGAAGAGAGCCGGGAGAGACGTCGAGTAAGCCACGAACCAGCGCGTCATGATCTTGCGCGGGTTGCTCGATCCGCCGATCTTGTTGGAGATCGCCATGCCGGTGCGGGCTGCGAGGGGAGACGAGTACATGTAGCCGTAATCGAAGATATCGACGGCACGGGTAGCGAACTCTTGCTGTCTACGCCAGCGGCGCTTCTCCATGATGTATATCGGGACGCAGACGGCAACGGCGAGAATAGCGAGTATCACGATTGCCGCGATCTTCGCTCTGTACGTGATCAAGAATAATTTCTCGAAGAATTTGGTAAGACCATCGTTGTCGGAACAGAATGACAGAGCCTCTTTCTGAGCCACTGGGAAAACGGAGTCGTCGAATTTCCAGTCTCCGTATGCCTTATCGAGTTCCTTTCGGATCAAGTCGAAGGGAATAGCGACAGCTTGCCTCGTCAAGTTCTTGACCTCGTCGAAATCGGGAAGCTTTTTGTTGAGCTCGTTGATCCCTTGAACGAACCCGCTGCTGTCAACGTTGACGTCTTTGAGTTCCTTCATCTTGTCGACGATGGCTTTCTCGAGATCTGGCTTATCGGGCAGAATACCTCTCTGGTACAGCGCAAGTTCGTTACTGCGGCTGAAGATGTCGCCAATGTCTCCAATGACATCGCCGGCGCCGTCCTTGGCATCATTTAAAACATCACCAGCCTTATTAGCGACATCGTATACAGTATCGATAACCTTTTGTATATCATCTGCGCTGGAGGCGATGCCGTCAGCAACACCGTCGATAACTTTATTTATGGCATCGGTCGTTTTCTCCACGGCGATGGCTGATGCGTTGAGACCGCCGTGAACGACCATGGAAATTAGACAAACGTAGGTATCCGTCATCATGCCAATGACGAAGAGGATCAACTGCTCGATGCCAGTCAGGATCATGTTGACAACGGACATGAGGGCCTGGACCGCGTTGGTGATGCTCGAGGCAGTCAGTTGGTTGACCCCAACAGAAAGATAGTGTGGCATGGAAGCAAACGCGCTGCCCACATCTTCGACCTTGCTACAGGCGGACAGAGCCTTCGTCTGGGCTTCGTCCAGGTTTTCCTTAAGACTTCCAACAGTGAGTAGGAAGTGTAGCAGCACCAAGAGGATAAGGATAGTCCATTTGTTCAACCAGACCTGAGATAACCTCGAACGTAAACCAAGATATGGTGTAATATCTTTTTCAGACTGGGGTTGAGTCAGGGTGATATGGTCTGAGCCACCCTGCTTATGGATCGATGAAAATTCAAATGCATTCTGACCATTGGCGTTGAGTGATGGGGGTACAGAAGGAAAGTCCCCCTTCTCTTTCCAAGGGAAATGCATATTGGTAAGTAATATTTGTCGAAGGGAACGTGTAGATAGTTAAATGTATGGTTCAGATATGATAATTAAAAAGCAGGACCGAGCCTACAAGAATGGAAAGGAGTATGAACTAGAAAGGTCGAAGGGGAATGAATAGCTAGTTTCAAGAAGACCGAATAGGCGATAGATTGAAGAAATCACCAAAAAAGAATGCAACAACGATAGCAGTGCCGGCCACGATCTACTGTTGATATGGCACTGAAGGAGGGGTGAGGCGAGATACCCCAATGGGACAATGAAAAGTGCAGAAAGAGGCGAGCCCCCAAAGGAAATGATAGACGACGGGAGGCGACAAAGAAGCGTACCGAGCAAATCAGAAGCCCATTTCCAGAATGGTGTTGCAGTGACTGAACAAGAATGGAAGAGACGGACCCAGTCATAAAAGATATATATTCGGGTGTGACGCAACAACTCCTTAGAGCCCGCCATCTCTACGAAGAACAAAAAGGTTCAAGTGACCAGCGGCAAAGCAAGGCCTCATTAGTGCGATGGGTCGTTTTGTTATTTAGAAATATCCTTTGTTTCATCTAGTCACCACCACTGGCATTCTCTTTTGCTCTCTTGGCGTGCTTTGTATGCTATCGTATCGTCGAATGGATAGAAGGGAGAGAAGAGGCCCTCGCGCGTAGACCGGGGTATTAGCTAAGCGCTGAGGTTAGTTAAGAACCAATCGATTCTGTTTGCCAGCATCTCTCTAGCGGGAGCTAACCGGATGAGCAGGGGTGACCTGGCGGGATCGTCACTAGGTCATCCGGTCAAGATACCCATACTGACTGTACATAGTAATGAGCGAGAAGAGGTCGGTTCAAGGTGGCTAGAGCCCAGGGATAGACGAGAAGCCGCCCTCACCGCGTTACGGAAGCGCCCTTGTTACTTATTATGGCCTAGGTTGAGTGAGTAGGACTAAGCCCTTTATACGAACTGAACTACGTCGCTAATTCCTTGCGGAAATGATAGAGTGAGTAGTGGTAAGCAGTGCATCATGATAGCTTTCCATACAACTCTCATTCTATCTTCTTGTCTTTGCAATTCTGATGCCGATGAGGTATATGTGCAGGAGATATACTTCTGTATGTATGCTGTTGGTATGCTCAGTAGAAAATGTGCAGCAGATACATCATTATCCCTGCAACGGCCCGCCTACGCATGATGGCTAAGTGTGCATCGAGGGTCGCATACCTTCACACATACCGGTACCTGTCCCTACTAGTTGCAGCATCGTGTTACATCTCCACGATAAATACAACTCAGCTTTGGGTTTCTAGACTAGTACTTAGTGGTGACAGATTGATTACTTACTAAGAACATGCCCTGAAGATGTGGAGGAGAAATAGCACAACTTAGAAGTTTAGATAGACACTGCTATCATCAGTTCCTGATCTACCTAACAGCAGTCTGTAAGCATGCATAGGTAGGCAATTGTTGTTATCCGATGTTGTTGGGAGCACAAGGCTGGAAGATGTAAAGGGAGGCTTCACCCTCAACTTGACACGCCTCTTTTCCCCTCCCTCACCCCAAGAAACAGCCTTGGCATAACCTCATATATTTACACAAGGTCCCTCAATTGTGCACTTCACTGGCTTCACAACAGGTCAGTAGGCCAGCTACATTCCATTGCCGATTGGTGCATACAATTCGCGCCCCCAGACACAAATCTGCGAACCTGGTCTTCACTGATAGGCCATCAACTGCATCTTGGCACGAGATTCCCAGGTTGAGGCAAGGGAGGGGAACAAGCATCAGTTCTTTCGGCAGAGCGGACATCACAAGATGATTGGCTGTAAATTCCTTTGGGCGGTTACAGCATCTGGTGCCGAAGAATGCGCCTCTTAGTGCCCCTTGCCCAGTCGCTTCAATCGACGCTAGCCCATATCAAACTCGCTCCCTCGATTTCTTGACTTGGCATTTTGGGGGCAGTGGTTCTCAGTCTCTCGGAGGCCTGTGCCCGTTGATCTTCCACCAAAGCGAAATACTATCTTGAAGCTTTAGACGCGTCTATTTATATGCGAGGCGGTTAGTGAACTAGAGCGATGAACCAGCACCAATGTACACGAACTAAACGTGGCTCGACTAACACCAGGTGGATATAATAAGCTGGAAAGGCACCATATGAAAAGACCGTTAAGTTCATGTTAAATAACAAGCTTCTCTCTCTCCCCCTCTCTCTCTCTTTTCAAAAGCTACGGGCCTAGTAGATTTCAATCAGGCCTGCGAGTACCTATACAGACCTCGAACGCTTCAGTCGTCTTTGCCTACCTTTATGACTAAGCAGCATGCTTCCAGCATCTTACTAACCAATATCTGAGTCCCAACGCTTGCTCAACAACAAATGTTCTGCAATGGTGATGAAGGTCATTAAGCCCTCCTGGAATCTGGCTAATAGTACCAAAGTGAATACTGTCAATGCCCTGAACCAAGACCACCTTACCCAACAGGGTGCCTATCGTGATGAGGGCGGGCAATTCCTGTGAAGACAATATACATCTTTCTCATTATCATAGAAACTTTATGTTATCTCCAAGTCCCCAAGTCCATAGAGTTGCGTCGTGTTACGTGGCCCTGTACCGAACCTCTGTCGAGGAGATGTAACCCGAAAAGGAGCGAAAAAAGAGTTTCGACTGTAGTTACACACATTCAAGTCAAGCGAGAAATATTCAGTCCACTATGTTTATGTAATCATATCTGATTTTATTAGACTTAAGCAAATGGAATTCGTGACATTATAAACGAGTATCTTAAAATACTCTCCTTCTCCACGTGTTCAATACATCAGAAAGCCTTCAGCGCCTTGGCCGGTCGCGAGAACTAGGGCCGGCGCTGGTATTCCACCGATCACGTAACTGCTGCTGCCGTAAGCTCCGCCCCTAAAGCCTCAACGATCTCACTAATACCTCGAATTGTGATCACGACGTGACCCTTCCTACTGCCAAAATCTAATAAAATTTTAGCATCATTATGATCCATTAATCAGCGTGATTGCGGTGATTCCGTATTAGGTTGTCTAAACGTGGCGCGGTGAGTCTCCGTAGTTCGGATTGGGATATAGCTAGCCAGGTTCCAGTTGAATCGATATGGCTTCACTCAAGAGAACTTATAAATCAGAGTGGATTCTTGCATTCGTTTCTTATGTGAGTCTAGCGCCTGAATAATCAACATTCCAAGTACTCTATACGACGACAATGTCATGAGTCCTGGCAGCATCGATTGGTGATTATAAGTAGATGGAGGTGACACTGATGGTCCGAAGAAATGAATATGAACAGCAGCTTTCTACTTAGCTATATCCCAGAGCATTTCAGATACTAAATCAACTGAATAACGAAGATGTCACAAACCAATGTCCTCATCACTGGCGCATCGCGCGGTCTGGGTCGAGCGCTCGTGGAGCGATTCCTCGCCTTCCCAAACCATGTACGACCACTCCCAGCCCCTTGAGCGAAATACCCATGTAACTGAGATTAACAACAAAACAGACAGTGATAGCCTTGAATCGCGACCCCGAAGGCGCAACATCAAAAGCGCTATTCGCGCTCCCCAGAGGCTCCAATACAACCCTCATCGTGACCAAGTACGACGCAGCAGACGGCCAGAGCCCATTCGATGCCGTAAAGGAGCTGCAAGACAAGCACGGCATCACGCACCTCGATATCGTCGTTGCCAACGCGGGTATCGTGAAGATCTTCCCGTATGCCCGCGACGTCAAGCGCGAGGACATTCTCGAGCACATCCAGGTCAACGTCCTGGGCGTAGTATCTATTTTCCAGGCTACGCGCGAGCTATTGAAGAAATCAGCTCGTGAACCTATCTTTGCGCCTATGGGATCTGGCGCTGGTGCTCTAGGGTACGTAAACGCAGAGAACTCAAGCATAAATTCCCTCATTCCTTCTTCTTCTGCCTTCACTTTGGCATACTTCCCTTTCATATGTAGAAAAGTGAAGACTAACGCAGAGAACAGACGACAACCCGATATTCCTAGCTCGGCATATGGTGCGTCCAAGTCCATGGTATACTGGTATGGAATCAGGATCAACGCCGAAGAGGAGTGGCTTAACACGTTCGTCTTCGACCCCGCTTGGGCCCAGACCGACATGGGGAATGAGTCGGCGAGGAACTTCGGTCTTGAGAAAGCGACGCACAGCGTAGATGAAGTGACGGATGGACTGGTCCAGGTGTTGAGGACGACTTCGAAGGAGAAGCACGGTGGTAAAGCCGTCTTGTATACTGGCGAGGTGCTGGAATGGTAATGGAAGTTTGGGGTATGGGATAGAATAGACTAGACTGTCTCTTTCGTAGAACTGGGGGTGTTTGAATGAACATAGACTGTTTTAGTACCTAGGGTGAGCGTTCTCAAGAGGTTCGGCGTATGCTGGGTGCCTAGATATATTCTTGATAGCATAGCTTTAAGAAGAATATCAATGATTTACGCCAGTTAATGCCAAATGTTCCAGAAGTCGCCAGATCATGATCTCGAACGCCTCCCAAAGAACGCCCTTTCTCATGTTTGAGACGCATGAATTTAACTGGGGCAAGCGCGATCCCTTAAGTTAGGTCTCGAAGATGTTTGACTAGGCAACAGAGCTATGACCGCATATATAAACGCAGAAGTTGCTCCGATAGTAGTGATGTTCTGATCTCTCCTCATCACACTCCTGCCTGGATCGATTTCCCAATACTTCTAGTATCCCCGGCCCAGAAAACATTCAAAAGATATACATTACCACAGGTACTGCCTCACAATGGTCTCGAAAACCCCATCAAAACTGGATCCTAGCAACGCCAGGAGCTACGAGATTAACGGCGGTACTTTCGACGCAAATTGGTGTGGCCACCGGGAGGACAATTACCCTGAAGACTCTCCGGAATATCACACATGGCAAGCAATGCTTCAAGAACATGGCGTCAGACAAGTAGGCCTTGAGAATGACGTGCACCATACTCCCACAGCCACATATAATCTCTATTATCCCGCGCTCTCAGTGTCACAAGATATAGTGCCATCCAGTCATGAGCCTAGCATCAGTACCATGGAACCCAATGTGGCTAAAGACCATGATGAAGAGACACAAGCACAAGAAGATCCCATAGCTTTGCTCATCAAAGCCGAGGAAGAAAACATCAGTTGGTTAAAGTCCATGGTTGATAAGGAGCGGAAAGAATATGAGGCACTTAGAGCGAAGCTGTTTGAAATGTTCATCATTGTCACGCAAAACCAAGAGCGTGAACTTGTCGAGCTTCGAAAGCGTATCTGTGGGCTGCAGGGCAATGGAGGAAATGTGTCGCTTAACCAGGAATGGCAACAGCTCCAGAGAAACTTTCATGACCTGCAACATAAAGTAGACGAGCATACCAGATACAAGATTTTCCAGGAGCAGTCTAGCGGAGGGCAGACTGGAAAATTCGCAGCTATTATGACCAGTCTGCGAGAAGAGTGCCTGAACATAACGGATGGCTTGGTTGCACTCGGACAGAAGATTCATGAGGCAAAGCTAAGAGACGGGGTTCGTAAGCCGCACGGAGACGACAAGCACACAATTACTGGCATGACAGGCCTGCGTCTCCTTGATACGCTCGACATCTCTGTGAGGTTCGACTTACCGCCTCCTTGCTCTTCTGCGGAAGGCATTCTGGATACCTATAATGAGTATTCTCAGCTTCAACGCGACAGGATTGCTACACGCAAAAATAAGGTGCAACAGCTCTTAAGAGATACCGGACGGGAGCTCTTTTCGTTCCAAAGAGACATGGAAGACGAAGAACGCTGGACCACCCGGATGATAGAGAGACTACTGTTCCCGGGAGGTGACACAGAAGTGCCAGAGGTTGTGTGTCCTATGCTGTCAAAGGTCTCAAAATTAAAGCAAGCGACGCTCAATCGCGGAGCTCACAGGTTCAAAGAAATAGCAGAAATCGTACTGGAGATGGAGTCGCACTTGGATAATATTGGTCTTCGTAACTTAGATCTGACCCTTAGGCCAACCAACCCTAACTTCTCGGCCACGAGGGCAAATCAAACATCGACGACAGCACGCGCTGATATAACAGGCGAAGGGACGGTCGCATCGTATACAGCGGGGCTTAAATCCAAACTGAAAGGGAAGCAGGTGGACGAGAAAGCACAGGCAACGCGTCTAGAGATCATAAACGAGCAACTGAGTGATGAGAATATCACTGCGACGTGGTGCCCCTCCCGCTGAACTAGGCGAAGTGCTCTTCGTGATGCTAGGACATTTGGAGGCTGTTTGCGACGGCCCATTGATTGAGGAGTGACGAGTAAAAGTGAAGTAAGTGAATAGAGGCAATCGGGCACGATCAGGCAACGCGCCAGACACTGGAGAGGTTGCTTTAAGCAAAAGTACTACGATGAAAGGAGCTCAGTTAGCAATTGCATTCACACGATGTTCCGCCCCGATCCCCACCATCGTGAACGATGATAATAGAGATGTAGTCTCGGATAAGCGTCAAGCATGAATCGAGTACCCCAGTATAATAACGTTGACATTGCCGAGAACTACGGTTTATGGCGACAAGTCGGCAAAGTTGACGTGGACTGTTGGCAAGTAAGTGAGCGTGGATGAACGGTGGATCAACCAAGCTGCATCCAAGAACTGACACAACACACAAAAAAGAAAGACTGGCAGACGTAAGAGAGCTGTCTTAGCGTCGCTGGAAGCTCTCCATAGCATTTCCCTCATTGTCCAATCACCACTCAGCCGAGGAACCGGGTCAGCGCGATGACCTGGTGCGATGGCGATTTTGGCATACTTCGTATGGGGTTTGTAGGTACTTTTAGGTAAGTGAATGCGGAATCTTTGCGACTACGTGACGTCATGCAGTCCTCTCTTCGACCTTGAAAGATCAACCAAATCGTCCCTATTCACTCACCTCGAGCCGAGAAACTTGCTCCTAGAAATAAATACCTTTCCCCCCTTTCTCTCAAAGTACTTCTAGTCTGAGCTGGCCATTGGGAGTTCCCGCATTTCTAATATTTCTGTAACCTCAATTCCTCGCGTCAAAGATACATACGAAGTATCTTTGTCTTCTATATCCAAACAACCGCTTAATCACACCCACACATACAAAAACAACCAAAAATGGCGTCAAGGATGTTATCTACAGCCCTTCGCCCTGCCGCGAGCGCAGTCAGCAGACAAACCGTCACAGCCCAGCGCGGCTTCAGCGCCAGTGCCATGAGCATGAAGCAGAAGGAGGGCCACGGTAAGTCTAACCCAAAGACCTCCCCGCCTTATCTCCACATTCACGCTCTGCCTTTATTATTCTTGATAGCTGGCTGAGACCTCCCCAACAGACGAGAGCTACGACCCCGAGAAGCACAAGCAGGACTTGCTCTCGAAGCAGAAGTCAGGCAAGGGTCACTGGAAGCCGGAGCTGGCCTCCGAGAGCGAGGCGGCCGTCAAGGCGGACCGTACTAACGGCGAGGACATCGCCACGCTCCAGAACCGCACAAAGGCCACCGCTGAAGAAACGTCCAAGGGTGGCACCAGCATGCATGATGGATTGTAAAGAAAGGAAAGGGCAATAGTGTACGTGATGAGAGTGGACCTGGTGTGAAATGGGATGAGATGCCTTGCCATTGTGACGTGGTACTGAAAAGCCTCAAACCGTATCATTAGAAACCAACGGCACAAAAAAAAAAGTTCATAATTGAGATTTCGTGCGAGAACTTCTGCCGTCTGCTTCACTGGCAGGAATCACAGAGGCTTCACGATAGCCTGTCCATAATAGGATGATAGTGTACATTCCACGAATAAATCCAAAGCATCATTCGCATCACGAAGGAAGCCTCAAACATATTAAGCACAGGTATCTGTCATTGTAAGCTCTGACTCGTAGCCCGGCCCGTCACTGGGGAATAATAAGTAATAAATGTGGACTTCAAAACGATAAATACGATGGGCGTTTCCTTTTCAAGGCACCCCTCTGCACAAATGAAAATATCGAATGGTTCTTATGTACAGCCAAAGCAGAATCCAGATAAACCCGGCGACCCAAAGAAACAGGCAGGTAATAAAACGATAAGAAAGAGAGTTATGTGCTGTGCCTCCAGATATGGGTAACAAGTACAGAATCTACCCGTAAACGCCGTGCCAAATGCAATGATGACTTCCCGCTGCTTCGTCTCTTTTTGCTCCTCCCTTCTCCTACTAATGCAGCCAGCTATTTGTTTACCCACGGGACACCCCTCTAGGCAAAAAAGTCGGAACCAAGCTTTTATCACCTTCCATTTCGTATAGTCCACTGACCAGCTTATTTCAAGATCGCAATCAGCAAGACCAGAATGATGATTAAGACGATGATGGCAATCATCTGCTTGCTCTCGCCCGCAGCTCGTGTGATCCGGTTGACCTGGCGCTTGGCACGGTCGAGCCGGCCCTGATGGCGGTCGACAGCAACATCGACATCGTCCAGCATGGCGACCTGGTCATCCAGCTCGTCCCCGATCTGCATGCTCAGCTCGCGTTGGCGCGCTATACTGGCGCCCAGCCGATCGAGCTGCTCATCCTGCTGTTCCAAAACTCGCTGGTGATACTGGTGAATCTGCACGTTGTTCATGCCATTGGCCTCATCTCGGTAGCCCATAGTATCGTCTGGGTTGTCGCGATACCGGCTGCCGAAGAGCTGCGCCTCGAGGTCTGGGTTCGCGCTGGGGCTCAACGGATTATCTGAGAAGCGCACGGTTTTCGATACGGTGCGGGCATTCTTCGGTCTGAGACTCGAGTTGGAAGTAGAGGGTTTCTGGGTCGCGTGTTCGAAGTCAGCGTTAAGAGAGGGGTCGTTCGCGTGTGTTAAAGTGTCGGTAGTCGAGGGTGAAGTGAAGCCGTGGAATTGCGCCGTCAGATCACCGTACTGCTTCTGTAAGCCGGGCAGAGAATCCGAAATGTCGAGGGCCGCACTACCGATATATCAGTCAGTTGAGTGCTCTATCATTACGACTGAGAAACAAGCTGTATTCTGAGAAAGGCTGCGAAATAGGGGTTGACTTACTCTTCATCTCCGGCCTCTTGTAATCTCTTGAGCTCATTTTCTAACGCTGCTAAACCGTCCTTAAACTGGTCTAATGATCGCGATATATGTCCATCATTTGAATCGCCACTGATATCGAGACTCTGAGCTCGCTGTCGCTCAAGCAGCGATAGCTTGATGTGGTCGGCTAGTAGAAACAATTGGTTCGCGCTGGCCATGATGACAACCGGCCGACGTTCTTCTAGGTAGGTATCCTAACGTTCCGAGGCAAATGGGGGACAAGAAGACGGTTGATGAGGAGCTGAGAGGCGGAAGGTTCGGCAACCAACCGACCAAAAGCAAATATACGGGCAAGGTGATGCAAACAGATCAGCCCCAAAACGTGGTCAACACTACGAATTACGCCACCTCGAGTACGATGTTGTTGTTTTTGCTTGGGCTTGAATTGGCGGGATCCAGATGATAATAGGGAGCTTTAGGCTGCTTGATAACCAACTTCAGCCCAGATAGGCTGCGAGATACTTTGCCGCAACATTGCGTCGGCGGATGCACATTGAAGTGAGACGCCGTCTCCTTTTTGCATATATCGGGAGTCGGTCTTAGGCAGCTAGGAGATATGTTGCAACTAACGTGAGCTTACCGCATCACAGTGGATCCTGCCACGTGCATCGACCAGCCGTTGCATAAAACCTCCCCAATTTGCCTTATGTAATTCATACTTACTAGGTAGGGTTTAACGATGGTTGCAGACTTGTCTCTGGCCACCACTCCACGAACAGTTATTCAGAAGACACAAGTGATAGAGGAGACGGGGAACTGAGCTCCATATAAGTCAACCATTCCGTTGACCAAAAAATTGTAAATTAAACTCATCTGATAAGGGACAGTCCAGAGGTTTGTTCTCATTGGAGAAGTATCTTCCCAAACGCCTCGGACCCCGTCCGAGCAGGACCCCAAGTCCCCTACAGATAGATAAATAGATCCCCTTGGTTCTCTTACTGTACAGGACCAAAGAAAAGCCCGCCCCCTCCGTGCCTACACTAGCTTTCTACTGGACGAGCCGAGACCCAAGTGGGCCCCGGCGCTGACCACCTCCGCACCGGGACTCAGATCGGCTTCGGCAGTCAAGAATTAACAAGCTCTCACAATCCCAAGGCAGACTCAAGGGCATCACTATTCTCCGGTCTAGGTCAGCATGCCTCAAGCTGGCTGCCCAGATATCGCTCCTGCCAAGTTCGATACAGGATCACCGGTGAACGATTTTCAATCACCGAACAGATTAGGGAAAAAAAAAAATATGTCGTCTTCATGCCGAAACAGGGTACCCTAGCAAGGCCCGTTCTTGAAAGGGCGATGATGTGGCGGGCAGAACCAACAGCCCGCGCTGGAGCAGACTGGATGGAGATGATCAGGTTGTTCGGTCCGGGACCAGACGCACGAACTGTGCCTTCGCAGGGACCCAACAATGGCAAGATACTTTTTGACGCATCCTTTTTTCTTCTTCTCCCCTCAAGCTTGGGATCCCCCACTCACCGCGCGCAGGGACTGTCGAACCATCACTTGGGCCCATGGGATTGGAAATGCTTGCCGTATTCCCGGATATGGCGTAGTGCAGCGGTCCGTGAGGAAGATGGATCGCAAGCCCGTCGTCTCGTTGATAGTTACTGCTTAGCAAAAAAACGTTAGGGGGGAAGTCTTAGGTCCAACGCATGACTAGCCGTCGTAATCCTTCTAGTGGGCTTTCATATCTATAGTCCCCTTTTCTTCCCACTTATAGCCGCTGGCCGTGTATATATGAGTGGTGAATGGTACGTATGTAGTTCTTCTTTCGGTCGTCACTGTCCTCCCCCCAACCCTTCCGATATAATGCCTCTCCCTACCGGCGTCTACCGCTCCGATCAAGTCGGTTCCTTGTTACGGCCCAGGGACCTTCTCAAGGCCCGTGACGAGGCCGAAGAGGGTAAGATCACAGCCGCGCAGCTGCGGGAACTAGAGGATAAATACATTGCGGATGTGGTACGGAAACAACAGGAAGTCGGCCTCCGCGCCGTGACGGATGGCGAATTCCGCCGTCGGTGGTTCCACGTAGACTTCTTGAAGCACCTGGCAGGCGTCGAGCAGCGCGGCGCCATGCAGTCGACAAACGTCAGCATCGGCGGGACCATGCCCCCAAGGCTCGTCGTCGTTGACAAGATCTCGCACCCGGCCTCCATCCAGGTCGACGACTTCAACTTCCTCGAGTCGCACATCGACAAGAGCAAGGCGACGACCAAGGTGTGCATACCGTCGCCCACAATGATACACTTCCGGAACAGCCGCGACACCATCGACGAGAAGGCCTACCCGACCCTGGAGCCGTTCTTCGCGGACCTCGCGCGCGTGTTCCAGGAGGAGCTCGACGATCTGTACAAGGCCGGGTGCCGCTTCGTGCAACTCGACGACACGAACCTCGCGTATCTCTGCGACCCGAAGATGCGCGCCGAGGCCGAGCAGCGTCACGGCGACGCCAACGTGCTGGCGCGACAGTACGCTTCGCTTATCAACGCTGCCATCTCCAAGCGGCCTAAAGACATGACCATCGGCATCCATCTGTGTCGCGGAAACCACCGGTCGCAGTGGTTCGCGCAGGGCGGTTACGAGCCCGTTGCCGAGGTGTTGTTCAAGGAGCTTGATGTCGATGTGTATTTCCTCGAGTACGACGATGCGCGGTCGGGCGATTTCTCGCCTCTGCGACATCTCCCGCCCCAGAAGATCGTGGTCCTTGGCGTCATGTCCAGCAAGACCGCGGCGCTCGACGACCGCGCCCAGGTCATCAGTCGACTACGCGAGGCTGCCACATTCTGCCCCGGCGGTCTAGACCAGCTATGCCTGAGCCACCAGTGTGGGTTTAGCTCTACTTCTGAGGGCAACGATCTCTCGGAAGAAGAGCAGTGGGCTAAGCTCCGGCTTCAGGCTGAAATCGCAAAGGAAGTTTGGGGGGACGCCTAATCAGATTAAAAAGAAAAAAGCATTATAGAAAATGATTTTAGTATCGATTGTAGATAGCTCATCAGAACACCCAAGCTGTACGTTTAATGGAGCAGCATGGCACAGTTCAGTATGTAAATACAAAGCGATAAAAAAAAGATTGCAAAATGCAATGGATGTTCCATTTGTGACCTCGGTCTCTTAATCCTACTACTGTACAGTCAATTTTCCGAGTCCAACCCCACCCCATCACTACTAAATAATACTTTTAGCTTGAGCTCTGCCCGACCTTGTCTATTGTACCACGAAATGTCGAGTTCCCATGAAAAAGCCCATCTCCGTGGTAGGCTTCAAACCCCGTGAGAATACAAAATGAAGACACAAGCAACGATTTTCCTAGTTTTCCGAACTCCTGCAGCTCCCCTTCCAGAATAGAGGATCACCGTTCTTCAAGTGAATCCATGTCATGGACTCGTGTCACTATAAGCCATTCCTTAAGTGTTTCAACCATTACCAGAGATTCGGGTATAGAAATCGTTAACCATACTGCTTCCAATAAATACCAAGCCTTGTTTTCTGGTCAAGCATCGGGAGCCAGAAGTTTCGGTCCAAATGACGCCGTTGTGGAGAGAAATACAGCCACAAAAAATCACCAACAGGGCCTCAGCAAGGATCTAATCAAATCCACCAAAGGCAAACGTTAAAAACCCTCCAGCCATGGGAGGCAAACGACCCATGGCACCGTACCATCAGATACTAGTATCAGAACTATATCCGGAACGCCGAATCAAATACAAGTGATGGCCTCATCATATAGGCAGACCTCCTCTGGCGTGAGTATCTGGCGTATCATGTAGTCAACGCGTCATCGTAAGCCCGTTGTGCCTGCTTTCTCGCCAGTCGTGATTCACCAGCTATAATACGGGTAGGTATATTAAGCTCCTGGCGGCTTGGGCATTTCACCGGTTGGTTGGCCTGCGCCTTGCTGTTGAGCGACAGCCTGGTACCATAACGTGAGGTACGCTTGATAGCCGCCATCTAATACCATGATTAGCCTAATACACGGATTTGGTGCTCATTGAGTGTGAACTTACACATAGCATATGGGTCAGCAGCACCATTGGGGGGTGCAGCATTCTGTGCATCCGTCATACTAGGTTGGTTGGCAGAGCTCTGAGAGCCATAGTTAGAGTTAGGATTATCCCAATCACGCCGATTCTGGTTACGTCCACCACGACCGCCAGCACCGCCACTGTTCTTCTGTCGCTATGTGTATGTCAGTAAATGCAACAGTCTACCTTCATTGAATCAACACTTACTACCGCATCAACTTTGTCCTCTATTGCTCGCTTGGCTCTTCCGATTGCGTCACGAGAACCAACCAAGCCGATTTCGCGTTCTACCTCACCAGGCCCTGAAGATTGAGAAACATTGATCTTGCAACCTGTGGTGCTTTGCATTTCACGAATGGTCTCGCCTCCCTTGCCGATTATCATACCGACAGCCTCGGAAGGCACGTAAATAGAGTCATTGATTTTATCACCGCCGCCTTGCGCGTTGTCATGACTGTAGCCCTCATTCTTGGGTGGCCGCGAAGGCTTATTGTTTTCGGGGGGGTTGTTGCCATTGCGTGTATCACTGTCAACAATCTCCAGTATCAATTCCTTAGCCTGTGCAGCTGCTTGGTGAGGTCCAATGAGGTTGACAGGACGAAGACCATTCACGCTCTTAGATTCACCGACGATATTGATATGACAGCCACTGCGCTCTTGGAGATCTCTAATAGTCTCTCCGCCACGGCCAATGATAAGCCCAACGGTGCGGTCTGGGACCATAATTTGCACACAATCCTCACCATCACGTAATGTGGCGGGGACACCAGCACCAGCAGCAACTGAAGGAGTAGGGCCTCGGCCCGGTTTTTGAGAAGGATCAAGGCCTGCACGTGCAATAGCTCCCATCCCACTATCTTCAATGATTCTATTGATCGCAGACTTGGCTTCAGCACGTCTAGCACGAGGACCAGTGATTTTGCATTGACGGTACGGTCCTGGCTCACCCGAAGGAGAGATGAATTGCACTCTGCATCCTGTCTCAGATTCAACACGTCTCAGGTTCTCGCCTTGTCTTCCTATAATCAGGCCGACAAGGCTGGATTCAATCTCGATCATCTCGTCATTATCATCCCCAGGCCGATCACGGCCACCTCCACGAGGAGAGAAAGTACCAGACGGTCGGCCTCGATTAGGACCTGGAGACATAGAGCGATCGCGGCCGTAATCACGAGCATGGCTACCACGATCATCACGTCGTTCATCTCTGTACGGATTAAAGTTGTCACGATAGGCATCACGACGCGTTGGTGGAGAACGAGAGCGTCTTCCATAATTTCTGGAATCGGCAGCACGAGCATCATGCGAGGTAGGATAAGCAGCTTGTGGTGGTCTCTCATACGAAGTCAAGCCCTTCTCAGCAGCATAAGCTTTAGCTTGAGCAAGAGCATCACTGAAACTGGCGACACCCGGATTGCCGGGTCTAAGAGCGTTCAGGTCAAAATTTCCACTTGCCGAAGGCGGCGGTATACCATAGTTCGCAGGTGGATACTGCTGCGGTTGTGTTGCAGGAGACATGCCCGGGTACGTGCCTGGAGGCGCCGGAGGTGGTTGATAAGAAGGAATAGCATGGGACGGCTGGGTCTGAGTCGGAGTGGGAACATTGCGCTGGGAAGCTAGAACGAAATACCAATGTTAGAGGGACACACATAGCATGATCAATCATTTCAAACAACATATCTACTAACCCAGAGCAGCCAAGATGGCCTGAATATCTGGTGTTGGGGCGGCCATTATATCCAGATCCTATTCAAGTTGTCGAATCCTGGGTAAAGGCGAAAAAGAAGAGAGTCACGCCGGGAGACGCAACACGATGCTATGCGCACAACCGATACCTGCAGGTAGTGTGTAGTAGCGTTTAGACGGTAATCAAGAGACCCAAAGCAACAGGGGTCGCTACTGAGGACAGCGACTTGCTAAGTGAAAGTCCAAAGGACTTGCAGATCACGCAGGTACACCAAGCGACCACAAAAAGTGTTCAAAGTAGTTCAACTACCAAGTCAGTCAAGCGGAGATGGACGTAAAGTCCTCGTAGAATACTTGTACTTGAGCAGGAGCGTCTCTTGCTAGATGGTTTTGACTAGACTGATGGCAAACAACTATGTACGCTGTGTGCAGGACGGGTACGGGTCTGCAGTCGCATCAATAGGTATGTAGCAGGAGCAGCAATCATCAATCTTCTGGTCAACGGCAGAGTGAGCGAGGCAAGGTCGACTAGACAAGACGGTCAAGGAGAAGAAGAAGCGCTTCTGAGGATGGCGGGGTGATGATTGATGGATGACGATGCCGACGACAAGGACGACGAGAATCACTAGTCACGAATCCCAAATTTGCCAGCGCATGGAACCGTTGATGCTTTTCTGCTGCTCGACTTCTAAAGCGAAGAAGAGTATATAGGAAATACGCAGTTTGCCTTTCGTACACAATCACGAATTGGAAGAAACGGATGAGAAGTGGTTTGCGGCGGTTGTTGGCGAGGAGGGAGAAATAGTGAAGAGAACGCGAGAAAATGTACGTGGCCGACGGTGGTGATGGAGAGGTGGTAAAAGTGCAAGTCCGTAGGCAGGCAGACCGAAGAAATAAAAAGCTGGCCACAACCTTGGAATCGTCAGGGCAAAAAGTAAAAGTGGGGATTGAGAAGGTGGAATGGGTGTGAATGGGCAGAAAATAGAGTTCGAATCAGGAAAGGCCGCGTCCTCAGATACGCGCTAGTCCGTTTACGGTAGGTCTCGGGGGTGTCTATGGCGCCTCGTGCCTTACAGTAGGTACTCGATTCCAAGACATCACCCAATTGAACAATGTTATTGTACTGTAAAGGGGAAAAAAAAAAAAAAAAAAAAAAAAAAAAAAAAAAAAACAAAAAAAAGGACCAACAAAGCAAATAATCAAGAGTCCTTTTAGCCGCTCGATTGAAAAC